AAAAAGTTATTTTATTCAATTTTGGGAATACTTTTGATCAATTATTGATCTATAAGAGAATCATTTAAAAATATTCCCATTGAATTTCCAACATGCAGATGTTCCAACATAGGGACAAGGTCCAAGCACGACTTACGTCCGCCTCTGGGAATCCCACTTTAATACAGTATAGACCTCAAAAAATTCCAAACTTTCATCTTCACACCTCTGTAACATAGGCATACCAAGGCCTTTGACTATTATTATGGGCACCCAAGAACAAGAAGAAGAATTAAAATGCTAATTTATGCATTTTGAAAGGAATTTATGGACTAATTTGGCAAATGTACCCTTGCTTCAAGTTCAGAATCCTGTCAACTCATTTATCCAGCAATTTCAGGTCCAACCTGTGACCTTACCTTAATGATGTTATGCTTTATTCTCTCTCTAGAAAAATTCCAAAATCCTTAGCCCAAAACACCCTAAGGCTGTGTCCCCCTAGTTCAACTGAAACAAGTTTGGCTGTACAGTAATGTAATTTTTTCTTTGCTAATGCAACTTGTGTAGGGTTGGGAGAGAAAAAATTCCAGCCGCGGGAGATTTTGATAACAAAAAGGTTCAAAATCACTTTATTTTCATATGAAATTTTAGCATTGGTTTTCCAAATGTTGTCTCATTGTATATATTAAGTTTTGAATGGGTGGACCTTCGTTTTCTTTTGGGGCTTATTTTTGCTGATTCCTTAGATATCTTCCTAACTGCCTTTTTTTCTTTTTTTTTTAGCCTTGTATCGATGACGCAGTCTTGAGAATTCTTGTTTGCGAGATTAAAAAAAATACATTGAGAAAATTCGAGCAAGTTTAACATACGTGAGATATTGGGACAACATTCGAAAAAAGCCTCAAATAGTTATTATTACAGCTTCTTGCATGTTGATGCCTGATTTAATGCCCATTTAATTTTTTCCCCCCACGTGAAGTTCGTTTATGGCACAAACAGAACCAAAATTTGGTTGCATGAGGCATTATTCGTTGTTTGAAGTACAGTTGTATCCCTCTTCACGTAACCAAAACTCTCATCACACGTCGTCTATGTGAATCGAAGTGGAAAGATGGAACACGAGAGTTTCCAGTGGTGTGAAGGAAGAGATATTTCCTCTCAACAGCCCCCGGGAACGAAATCCCAGCCCGAGGCCAGGAAACTCTGACCCGCATACATCACACAAGTTTGCAGATCAACCAAGACTCGGCTCCAGAAAAAAAAACGAAAAAGAAAACCCTTGCCTTTCCAGCTATCCCAGCACTGGTTTATTTCTTGGTGGGGTATACCCATGTGCCAGAAAAATCGGGTTCCCAACGGAACTCTGATAAACGAAGACCAATACTTGTTCTATTGATTAACATTAAGCGTTGCTTTTCGCAGACGAGAGAAAGAAACCCCAAGGATTGTGGTTCAGTCGGACTCTGATTGCCCGGGCCTTGATCTCGCCCAGAATTTGATTTATTGAGAGGAATAAAAGTGGTTTGTGTAAGTTCTTTCTTTGAGCCGTAATTGCAGCATAATTTTTTTATCAGAAGGTTTTATTGTGTTTTAAATTTAAATTCATGCAAACGAAGACTTATTGAGATAAACATTACAAAAATCAATGCATCAGGAATATTTGATCTAAAAAATCGAGAAAAAAAACCTTCATGTGGTAAAGCTCTTTTATGACAATTTTCGCAACCTTTTTGACCCCATGGACCGGCAAATTTCCAAAACACTTTTTGCAGATCGACCAGCAAATTTCCAAAATATTTTTGGCGGGCCAGCAAAGTTCCATGAAACATTTTTGCAGACTCATAAGGTTTGGTTTGGAGGACTTAATTGCTGATGGTACATTATTTCAGAAGTTTCTGCTTTTTGGAAAAATTAAATCAAGAACCACTGCATCGGCTATAGTGGAATACATTATCTTCAACAATTATTAAGGTGGGCTTGAAGAAAGGTTTCTCAGAGTGAAAAATTAAAATAATTTATTTCAGCTGGTAAAAATTTGTCTGGAGTGTAATTGAGAAAAGCCAACTACTTTAATTTTTCATCAGATAATTTCAGCTGCCATTGTACAAGGGTTGGTTCATAAGTTTTGAGACTTTTCAAAATAAGTTTCCACCCATGTGTCAACAACTTCAAATTGATCTTTTACTTGCATAGCCCCATCATTTTGCAACACTAAGTGCTATTCAACATACTCTCCACCAATTTCAATGCATCTTTTCATATTTTGAATCCAACAATCAAAACATCAGGGCCAAAAATCAAGTTCTGTTTGTTGACAAGGCAACCTGGAATTCTGGCTGTTTTCAACATCAGTGAATGTGAACTACCTTGAAGGGATTTATTTTCAGAACATGGACAGCCTCATTTCCGCCATAAAAAAAATCAGCTTAATAAAATAGCATAAATCAAATTTTGGCAATGTTTTAATTTTTGGATTTATGACATGGAAAAATGAATCAGAGCTGGCAGAGAGTATGTTGAACAGCACTGAAGTGTTGCAAAGTGATGGGGCTACGCAAGTAAAACCTTTTTTTGGAATTGTTGAAACTCTGTTGGATCCATTCCAAGAAGTCTCAAAACTTATGAACCAACCCTCATATTTCAAAAATTACAGAGAGAAATAACATACTTCAAAAAACGTCTGTGGACAGTGGACGGGTGCTAGTCTGCAGACCAAAGCTTGGGGAACACTGTTTTATGAGACATTTCAGTAAAGTCATATGTGGCAGTATAATTAGACAACTTACTATACACTGTACTTGAATGCCATTAAATGGCAGTCCATGTTAATTGCATACTCAAGATTTTTGTCTGTGCCTTTCAGCCAATCAGGTGCAGCAGTGCATTTTCCTGGAAGAGAGAGAGAGAGAATCCAGAAAAAGAATTCTCAGACAGTCTGTGGCCAACATTCAAGTCATTAACATATTGATCTCTGATTCTCTGTGAAATCACCTGTGTTTTGTAAAAACTGATTTATCTTTTGGGGAGAAAGTGAAATACATTTTTATTCTTTTCCAGCTGAACCCCACAGCTGAATGATGTGTTTTATTTTCAGAATCAATCCTTTTCTTGTCTCCTTTTGTAATCCTCAATATTATACAGCATATGCTGAAAAATTATTTCAGTGCTGATTGGCACACAATTCAGCACAAAAAAATCCTGACTTAGCTGCACAAGGATTAAAAATTTAGTGAATGACTCACAATTCACAAAGGAATGCTTAACATGGGTACTACCATGGGAAACGCATTTAAAGGTTTCTGGATCCCCCCCTCTCACCGGTTCTGCCATCACAAATCAAAGGTTCTCCCCCCAGTTTAAAGCCCTGATCTTAAAGTCCTGCTGCTGAGAAAAAGGGAGTGCTGGGCACGCTGTAAATCGCGACAGGAAATGAATGGAATTCGTGAAAAGAAGCACAAAAGAAGAGGGCAAAGAGGTGGGAATGACCCTTGGAGAAGCCAGAGGGAAATGCACTCACCAGCACCACCAGCAGAGAGTCAGGGTCGAGTGGCACAAGTACTTGAAGGAATCTGCTGTGTGGCCGAGAGCAGTTCAAGGATCTGCCCAAGGAACAATAAATCCAGGAATTAAAAAAAGAAAAAATTGAGAGAGAATATTCAAAAATCAGATGGTCTAAAAATTTGCTTTTCATCTCCAAATTGCGCCATTCGTCTCAATTTAACCACTGCTTAATACTTTTTTTTTTTTTTGCATTCATCAGCATCTCATGGCTATTTTTTTCTCCCATTGCCCCCCAAAAAAGCGCATATGCAGCATTTTTTTGATCAAATTAACTCTTTTCTTTGCCTCATTTCCGTCGGACTGAGTCAACGTACCCGGGGTGCATTATTTTCTGGAAAATATGCGGAGGCAGTTCCTGCGATAAATTGCCTTCGGAAAAAGGCAAGGTAATCAATTTAAATTTAACTATTTTTTTCTTTCTCTCGGATGTGCATGAAAAAAATGTAATGACTTTGAGCAGAACCCAGGCATTTGGAGCAATATTTCAAGAGTCCTCGTGGGCTAAAATTAGTCTAGGGAAGCACGAAAAAAAAAGATTCTCACAGCAATCAGCGATGTCTACACAAAATTTTCCGCGATCTTCAAACGTACATTTCGGCGATTATATATTTACATGAATGATGGTCGCCGTTTTTCCCACGGTGTCCAATTATTTTTTTCCCGAAGAATTTTTACTGGACCATTTCGCTTCGAACTCTTCAAATTAAAGCAAGGTTGGCGTACCCTCGACTGATGCTTTTTGCTAGTTTTCTTTGTGGGTCAACGAGGTTTTTTCTTTGAAGAACACCTGATTCCATTTATCGTTTTTTTTTTGCGCGCGCGGTAGTAAAAATAAGAGATGGCAAAAATGTATATTTTTGGTGCTGGATTCTTCGGTGACTCGAGGGGATTTTCGTGTCTGCCATAATTGAGGAGAGTGGACAAAGGGCCGTCATGATTTTGGACAAAGAAAGGGAAATCGTGAAGTTGAGGACTCAAATTGAATTTATTTTTGACAACTAGTTTCTTTATCGATTTAAAGAAAGCTTTGGGAGTATGTATGTTTCATCTTAACTTTCTAAGAAAAAACAGCAAATAGTAATTTTGATTTCCCACTCTCTTTGGGAGAAGCTCAAAAGAAATGCGACTATTGCGCAAATTATTGACCCATTTATTCAATTTCTCCAAGCGTTTTATCCCTGGATTGTTCATGGTCAAAATTATCTGAAGTGGGTATACAGTAAAAGTGAAATCGTTAACTTTATTTTTTCGAGATAATTATCTCCAAAGTCCAACTTTTTCCGATTCTTGGATCATTCTTTGAAGATTTTGAATGAAGGTGAATTTCGGAAGCTCTCAATTTGTCACACTCGGTGATTTTTATCGAACAGAGCGAGAAATGCCTCACAGAACTTTCTGATCAACCCCAGGAAAGCAGTAAAAACCCGTGACCGAATGGATTCGAAAAAACAGGGAGGAAAATGAAGAGAAAAAGCAGGCCAAAGTTGGAAAAATTCCGAGCACGGAGTCGATGCCCCTCGGGCCGGCGTCATATCGTGACCGACGAACGCCGACGAACCCAGACGCGACGGGACATTTCGTCGGGTTCCATATCAACGGGTTCTGATCCTGCGAGTACCTATATACGTGGTGCTTATCGTACTACCAACTATACTGATCAGAAAGAAAGAACTAAAAAAATCACGTTATGCTGAATTATTCAATTTAACCTTTAAAAAAACAGCAAATTTCCAATTCATTTGATCACCACGTAACATTTTGAAGGTTTTCACCCAAAAAATCGACACAATAAAATATTTTTACAGCTTTTTTTTTTATATTCGACTAGTCCTCCGTCTTAAAACAGAGAAATGCTTGAAATAATATTTGAGCATACTCGTATAAGCTAAATTCAATAGCCTCGCAATAAACGTTTTCTAAAGTTTCGATGGCAATAATCCATAACCCAAAAGTATTGACTTTCAAAATAAAATGATCTACAAATGAATTCTCCTTATTGAATTCTGCCTTCGTTCGTACTATTTTTTATATTCTTCCAAGGATTCGTCTCTTTTTTTAGTGTTGTTTTTAGTCTAAATATGCACAATAAAATCCAAATATTTACAAACGGCACTCGGATAACAATTAAAAAAAACTTCGCATGATTTTAAAACAATGACAAAAATGATAATATCGTTGTTGAGCATAATTTGAGCTATACAAAGAGCACTCAAAAATATGCAAATTATCTAGAATTATCCATTTTCTAGATAATCATACAATGGCATCAAAGAATGGCCATCAATGTTTCATTTTCTTTAAGCCATATTTTGCTTTTTTTATTTCGAGTGCGGTTTCAAATAATTTGATTTTAATGCTTTCTTTTTACTTGCGGAACGAGAAACACTTGAAAGAATACAAATTTATTGTGAACAACAACATTGCAGCGAAATTTCCAGAGTCTTAAAATATTAGCGTTTTGACTTCAAACCTCGCCATTGAAAACTGAGCTACAAAATATTCCGAGAATTTGAAAGATAGCATCTAATTTGGTGAAGAATTCGATAATCTCGCAAGGATATTTTTAAATCTTTTTTTTTCATGCACGGTAACTCCTTGGATAAATTTCGTCACGTTTTGCAAAGGCTAATCGCAATTATCTAGCTCTTGATCCTTATAGTAAGTTCGCACACTCCGTAATATTCGGCCCGCTGAAATGGTTTCCGCTGGAATGTAACCAACTGAGTTGTTCTGGAACCCGAAACAAGTCTTGCATCCAAAGCAAAACCGTTCGATCGACCAAAAAGGCCGCAGTTGCGGTCAAGCATCACGTGGAACCAAGAAAAAGGGAAACAATTGAAATAAATTTAGGAAATAGAAACTTTTTTTCAAGAAAAAAAAACATGAAATTCCCGTGAGGTCATAGACTTTTTTCGGCAAAGCAACCCGCAATTCTTTGAAAAGGAAAAACATCACGGGATACTTGAAAAAACACAAAATGCCTACCATTCATTTTAAATATGCTGATGTTTGCATTTTTATATCGGACTATATTTAAGAACAAGATAACTTATTTCATGAACAAAATTTGCATTAAAAAAAACTAGCTGGGAAAATTTTCAGATGAGCAAAACCAGGAAATTTCTGAATCGGAATTTGAAAACTTGTTGAATGTTTTTTTGAAAAAAATTGCTGAGGTTGTTGTTGTTGAACAATTGTCATTGTCCTAAACTTGAAAATTGGGATTAAAAATTCAGCTAATTCCTGGAAAACCTCACGATTCTCAGAAGTGGTAATTAATGTGTGTAAATTAAACATGCAATCCACCCAAAAAGTGTAATAATTTCAAGCCTTGTGATCACCAGAAAAAATTTTGAAGGTTTTCACAAAAAAATCTATCCATTAAAATATTCTTAAAAGCAAATAAGACGCATGGAGACAAACTTTTTATTTTTATGAAACCTTTTTTATGAAACGAGCAGAATACATATTTTCCAACATTTGGCTGATCTTCCTGTTCGAAAAGAAAAATGGTTTTCTTGGCAACATAACATTTTATGGAAGAATTTGGGGGTTTATTTAGAGCAGGACTTATAGTATTTGGGCCAGTGCCTGGAAATATTCCTAGGGCTTCTTCCAAGACTTGGTTACTTGTCGTTGTTATGGGAAAACATGCTCATTATAAGTTATATTTAATAAGTTAATGCAACGTATGCATTCAAAACTGAGACAATGCTCTACAGAACATCATCCTAGAATCCTATTTTAATTCTGAAAAATAAATTTACTGCCTCACAATTTTTATATAAATATTTTTGTCATCTATATAGAATTTCTCATCGTGTTCATTATTTCTATAATGCTATGTTATTTTTTTGGGGTCACAATCACGTCTGAGAATCACATTTTCGAGTCATGGCATCTACAACTTTTTATGCATGGGTTAAAAAAAGAGAAATGCTTTACGAAATACTTTATTTGTGCGTTAAAAGCACAGTCAGACAATTAGTTTTTCAATATCCTAGTTATTGATTTTCCGCAGTCCCTTTTTCCTGAATTTTTTGACCTTAAAAAAATCAGTGAACAAACTTTTCCCGAGGGCAACCCAATTTTTTTCGATTTAATTAAAATCACCGACGTCCTCACCTGCCAAAAATATTTTGATTTTTTTTTATTCCATGAAGGCATCTTGTAGCATTTCCGAAATTCATTAAAGTCATCCTTGAAAAAGTTTATTGGCATTGCCATTAAAACCCCACTCGTCATGCATTGAAAATTTTTCCTTCTTCCAAAATGCGTTCAGGAAAACGTCAATATTTTTTTTTTCGAAAACCAGCTCGTCTACATCTCAGCCATTTATTCCTTGGTTGAGAAGAATTTAATAATGACAGGCAAAGATGAAAATTTGAAGGCTTGAATTTTTTTCGGGTAATGGGCAAAAGGGCAGAAAAAAAGAAATTGAAAAATAGGGAGAGAAAGAAGAGATCGTCAACGCACAAAATAATGAAAATCGCGAGGAACTTTGAAACTCAGAGAAGTGAACAGCCGTGACTGTGTGTCATTGAACTCGTAAAAAGTCGCGAAGTTTTCTTCCTTGCTCAGTGGGATTTCGTTTTATAATTTTTTATGTTTTTATTCTACCCCAGCGACGTACAAAAAAGTCTTCTATGACAGGGATTCATTCGTTTGCACCATATGATAAACCATTTTTATATATTTATTTTTCAAAGTTTTTTCCGCTTTGCTCGGGCAGAAAAAAATGCTTGAAATTTCTTTGTTTGCGCATCTGTGGTTTAAAGCAACATTTATTTGAAGTTTACTGAAAGAAATCCCGTCAAACTCATGCGTACTGGAGCTTATTAGAACTCAATTTATTCAAAGAACTTTCATACAGAACTTCTATTGAAAACATAACGCAATAAAGACGTGACAAATTTATATAAATCAGGTAATTTTATGCAGAGTTCGAAAGGAAAGTTGAGCATGACTCTTGGGAAACTGGGAGTTTTGGAATTTTAGATGACTCGTTGATTTATAAAACAACTTGCATCTTCATGATCCAGAATTATTTATGAGTAAAATACAGTATCCGAAAATTTTACATTTTCTTTCCATGGGGGATGCTTATTTTTAGGTGGATTATCGCTGCATCATTTTAAAACTTGTTTGAAGATATACGGTGAAAATGAAAAATTAATTGTAAAATGTGGCCTAAAAATCAGACTATGATTTTCAGCCCTTTAAATGTAATTTCTTTTTGTGAAAATATTCGCTTTTTTTTTAATCCAGCTTCTAATTATTTTCCTGCGATTCTAAGTAATGTTTGCTTTGGGTTTTATTTGCGAATATAATTTGACGTATAAACATTTTCGATATAGAATGTTGCCTGTGAGTTTCTTGTACGCAAAGAACAAGTAAGTTATAATGGCTGACGGTCTCCAGACATATATGCATTAATACAGTGATCATCGATTGATACTAACTATGAATGTTTGGAAGCGATCAATAGTACTTTTGCGTAATACAATCATGGGGGCAATTCCCGTTAATATAATATGCCAATATGGGAAAAGAGGTGGTTGACCAGGATTCAGAAATCAATCGTGAAACATACTGCACAAAAGAGCCATGCATTCATTACTCATTATTTTCTGGAATCTTCTTTTTTATTTTTTAATGTATTTTTGGAGTCATATTTTGCAGCTTATTTTGCGAAACCTCTGATCCACACGTTTGTACAATTGGGAATGTCGAACTTTCAAATATTCGATCACTATTTCACTTTTCTTTCGGTTCTCCGCAGTGAATTTCTCCCATTTTATTGGACATTTGTTCAGATCTTCTAATTTTCGCATCCAAAAGAATGAACCAATCATTATCAACATTTTCTTTCTGGGGAGCGGCAATTGTTTGGAATTTATTTAATTTATTTTAAATAGAAGCCTCTCAAGGTAAAATAAAAAGCCGTACTTCTTTTGTTGGAGCAGAGATTATTTAAAATGTATGTTCGAGTTGAAAAGTAAACAGATGCGATTTATAAATTCCTGTTTAGAATGAATTTTGGCAGAAGAATGCCTCCTTCATGTGTTTTCCAATTGTTCAAGACTTTTTAAATTCAAAATTTGACTTTTTCCACCCGGAAAAATATCAAAAAATTCGGAAGCAACGATTTTAAAATTTTATTCATAGCCTCTACTCAATCGCTTAACTTCGTTTTTTTTATAAATTACGGCAAGAGACCAAATTTGAATGTAAAAATGGATTCAGTCGGACAAAAAAGGTAGTTTTAACAAAGATACTCTCAAAATTCATAATTCAAAAGGAGAGACGAAGTGTCATAAAGAAGGCTTTGAAATACTGAACTCGAATCAGAATTTAAGCTCGAATAATGGACGAGATGCTGGTGAAAAGCTGCGAAACCGAAATTCAATTCCCTCCATTAGCCGAAATTCAAATGAACTCTTCCATTTATTTCCAACACAAGGTTCTTTCCTCAGATTTTCAACTGCGAACTCCAACAGCAACATTAGTACAGTCTTCTGCTGGTATAGAAAAAGAAAAGAGAGAGAAAAAACTTTTTCCTCAGCACCAGTATAGATAAGGCTTGTTGGAGCAAGTTTTCCATCAGGTTTCCC